CTTGGCTCTTTGGCAGCTTCCGTGCCATGCTGCTCACCGTGTCTCGCCCCCACTGGCGCTGAGCTCCTCAAGGGCTCCCAGCCCCCCGCTCTCCCTGACGAGAGTGGCGGCCTCTTTGTCACGGGCGACCCCGCCCGTGGCTGGCAGCGGAAAGCAACTGCTGCCGTTGAGGACCGAGTTTTTCAGGGCTTGTCCGCCGGCCTCGACCCTGCAGCCCTCGCCCTGCTGGAGTCCCAGCAAGGCCCTTTCGCCAGCAGGGTCCTTACGGCCCTCCCCACACGTGGTCCCCGAACCTACCGCCCCTTCACACTTGTTCCGGACGGTCTTGCTCCGTCCCTCCGTCTCCCACTCCCTGTCACTGAGATCTTGGCGACCATCGTGTTCAACGTCCGGAGCCGTGGGTGCGCCCTTGAGCGAGCCGCTGCTCGGGTCTGCCCTGAAGCTGGGGCACGGGTGACTTCCAACACCCGCCTGGCTGACCCCAACCTGGCCGTCGATCGCCTCGAGGACTGCTGGTTGGAAGTCGTCGCCAACGGTCTCCCGCTGTGGGGCGGCGCCCAGCTCGCCGTTGACACAACTCTCGTGTCCCCCCTGGATTCGGGCGCTCGTTGAAGCCCGCCTGCGGAAGGAGCGCACCTACCCGGAGCTCCTCCACCGGTGCCGCCTCGTTGTCCTCGCCCTTGTGGTCGGAGGCTGGTGGAGCGAGGAAGCTGCGTCCTTCGTCCGCCTCCTGGCTCGCGCTTGAGCGCGTGAGGTCCCGCTTCCCTTCCGCTCCGCCACGGCTGCCGCCTTTGTTGCTCGCTGGTCGGCGTTCCTGCCCTTTGCGGCTCAGCTGTCCTTCGCCGAGTCTCTCCTCGAGGGTCGCGTCAGCGCTGGCCGGTCTGGCTTTGGCGGTGCTGGGCCCGACCTCATCGAGCTCCTCGCGGACTCGGCTTGGCCACCGCCCCTTGTCACCGTGGTTCTCGGCCCCTGCTTTAGTGCCGGCCTACGCCACCCCCCAACTGTGCCCCCTTTTTTTTCAACGTCTGGTTCTGCCCCCCTCCAGGAAAAACCCTTTAAGGGATGCCCCCCGGGCACGAGGGGTCTTGGCGGTTGTTTTTTCGGAGGCCAGCTCCTCACGTGCACGAAGCTGGCCAGTTATATCCCGGCGGCCCCCGGCCCAAGAGGCCGTCACCGAGGCAGACGGCTGCCGGTGATCGGCGGGCAAGCGGAGTCGGCAAGCAGGCACTCCAGTCGGCGCAGGGCCCGCCGAAGTTGGACTGGCCAGCAGCGACCGGCCCCTCTGTGCCTGTGTCCTGGTGCTCCATAAGCACGTGTCTCACCGCTTGGCAAGACGCAAAAGGTGCGGGGGAAAAAATCAACGCAGCTGGCAAGACACGCGTTGGGAACTTGTCCGGCCCTCGGCCAGCCAGGTGCGCCCGGAGACCTCCTGTTGGGTTGGTGCCGGCGGCCGGCCAGTGGAAGAACAACGGCTCACAGTGCTCGGTGTCCTTGTCGGATCGGCGGCCTTTGTGCGTTTCCAGCTTCGCCAGTCCCGTGCGGGGCATGACTGGAGCGTTTGCCGGCACTGGGTGAGTTGCAGGCTTCTTGGCTGCTCCTTCTGATTCAGCCGTGTTGTCTGCCCTTTCCACCTTGCTTGGCGCAGGCGACCTGCCGCGACGTGCGCGTGACGTTGCCCACATGGCGGCCTTGGCCTGGGCTGACTGCTTGGCTGTTTTGAGTCGCCGCGTGGCTCGTGTTGCGCAAGAGTTTCTTGACCACCTTGACCCCACAGCCAGCTTGCTTTGCGGCGGCTGCCGCAGCATGTGCAGCACTCGGCCACTCCGACTGGGCTCCCCCGGCGTTGCAGGAGCTGTCTGCTGGTGAGAATGCGCCCGTGATGCAAGAGGAGGGGCCTTCCACCTTTCTTCGTGGCTGGCAGGGCCAAGCTGCAGCCGCCGGTATCGACTTTGCCAGCCAGCCGTTTCCGCACTACAGTGCCAGTCTCATCGGCCTTGTCCTATCCCTGCACTCTTTTCCGTGTTCTCATCCTGCGCCGCTCGCTTTCTGATCATGCAGCTTGCGCCCGGTCAGGTGTGCTAGCGTGCGGCTGCACTTGTTTGCAGAGACGCTGGGGCAAGAGTCGCCTCCAACACGCACCTTGCGGACTTGAACCTTCAAGTTGATCGGGTGGACGATAGGCGGCTGGAGGCCCCCCACTGTGGGGGCGAGCAACTTGCAGTAGACACAACCCTTGTCTTGCCTTGGTTAGGCCAGGGCCAGCCCGTTCGAGTGGCTGGTGGTGCCCTCGCCCTGGCACGCCGTCGCAAAGAGCGGGCCTGGCAGATGCCGGTTTGCCGTGCTTGCAGTGGAGGTTGGTGGGCGGTGGAGTGATGAGGCCGCCTCCTTCATCCGATCAGCAACACTGCTGAGCGGCAATCCTGAGCGACAATTCGAGCAACATGTCTACACACATGTCTCAGCAACATGAGCGACGCTTCTGAGCGACACTTCTGAGCGACTCTGAGCAATGAGCGATACCCCTGAGCAACACTTTTTTGAGCACACTTCTGATCGAAACTTCTCAGCAACAGTTCTGTTAACCACGATTGACACTTCTAAGCAACACGTCTGATCCACACTTTTGATCTGATCGACAGTTCTAGTTCGGAGCAAGATCAACACTTCTGACAACATTTCTGAGGGACACGCCTGAGCAACACTTCGGAGCAACACTTCTGTTCGACACGTCTGTCGGCACTTCTGAGCAACACTTCTGATCGACACTTCTGAGCAACATTTCTGTCGACACTTCCAACCAATACGTCTGAGCGACACTTCTGAACGACACTTCTGTCTCAAAATGCGCACCGCGCCACAGCGAGAGTGTTTCGACCCACCCAAAGAGCGGAGAGGGTTCGCTTCGCGTCCACAAAATGTGCACCGCGCCACAGCGAGATTGCGCTGAGTCAAAGTGGCGTGCCTGCCACGAAATCTACACCCAGGCGCCACAGTACTGCGCCTGCCACGAAATTTGCACGAAACGCTCCAGAAAGTGCTCACGCAAAGTAAGCTTGCCACGAACTCAAAATCATCCAAGCTGCCGGACCTGCCACGAAACCCAACTTTGACACGTTTACAGCACGCATCCAAAACTAGCACGGGACTGTGGCGCCAGAATGATGTCGACTAATTTTGACATGCTTCAAGCTCGCCCAAACGAGCCGATTGTACGACAGGGCCAACGAAAGCGGCGTCCAGCACAGGCGCGTCGAGGTTGCCACGGGAGCACGGCTTCGAGGGCCGGGCGCAGGCGCGAGCCGCCGATTGCGACGGCGCGGCGTTGCGTGCGGCAGAGCGACGCAAGCTCCGCACCGCCTTTTGTGTTCTCGCTAGCGAGGTTGGCGGGCGCTGGGGCCGCGACGTCGTCAAGCTTGTCGCTGACCTCGTCCAGACGCGCGAGCGCTAACGGGGTCGTAGCGCACTCTGAGCCGGATGTCTCCCCCCACTCCTCTGCAGACGAACGCACTCCTCCGCGAACTCCTGAAAGACACGTTCTCGTTGCCGAAGCCGTCGTAGTTGGTTCGTTTTGCCGTGCTAGTTAATCCTGGTCCAGGGGCTCCACAAAGTGCAGCCTTGGCTTAAACTTCTGGATGTCCTCAAGATCAGCCTACTGGGGCGCGTGGGCGGACTGCCTCCCCGTCATGGCGCAGCGTGCTGTGTGCGCGAGCTGTTGGTAGGGGACGAGGCCGCCGCGCCCTGCCTCCGCGAAGCGCTGGGACGATTGCTGCTCTTGGTGTCACGGCGTGCTTTCGGTCCCAGTCAGGGCCTCAGGCCGGGGCTTGGCTCACCGCCATCCCCCACCCTTCCACCCGACCCGCCCACGTGCATGTCGCCTTACGTCGGCGCCTTTGCCTGCCGTTGGCATACAGGTTGTGTGGTGGTGCCGGGGTGCCTGGCTGTGGGGCGGAGCTCGACGTCCTCGGCAATTATGCTGCTGCGTGTCCTCGCAGCGCCTTCTTGCCCGCCACGCCCACTTGGGTTCGCGTCGCGTGCGAGGCCCTGGGCCCGGAGGCTCGTTTCGTGCCGCAGCAGTGGCTGGCGCACAAGTGCGCCTGGCGTCGGTTTAGATGATCGCCGGCGTCTGGACTTCGTCCTCTATGGCGCCAATCGCCCGTGCGCGAATGGCCACCCTCACCCGCGGGCTGCTGAGCATGATGGCGCAGGCACGCTACCCTCACCGCCTTATCCCCATCTGATCCCTACGGCACTGCGCCGCTCTGCTGCCGTTGCGTGGCAGCGACGGTGGTGGGGCCTTCTCGGCGTCGCCCACGCTGTGGTGTCCACCTTGTTGGGGGCGCCTGGCTCTCGCCTGTGCGGCCTGCTGCGGATGAGGGGCCGGACCTTGGTGACGTCCTCGGCGCCGATGTGCCTCTTCCCAACCGCCTCCCCTTGCGGGGGTAGTTGTGGCGTGCCTGCTGTCTCCTCTTCCTCGCCTCCTTCGCTTCGCGGGCCAAAAAACAAAATAGAAAATCTGCTCGCAGCGTCCTAGGGTCCATGTCCTGCCTTTTTGCAAACTGCCCTCAAAGGCCAGTGCAGGCATGTGGCGAGGCACCTATCCGCTTGCCCTTGTGCGGCTGAGCACTCGCCTGCGTTGTAGGCTGTGGGCACAGATCCAACACCAGACCAGTTGTGAGTTTGCCTGCCGTTGGACGAGCATCCTTGCTGTCGCGGTGCGGCGTGCCCTGGCGGATGGAGAGCGCCCAGCCGCTATCTAGGGTTAGGGCACTGCGCATGCTGTCCCGGTTGTTGTGCTGGTTGAAGTTGATGAGCCGCCGCGGCCGTGGCAGGGAAGGTGAAGTTGTTGATGCCCAGTTTTCGATTCATTTGCGTGTTGCGAAAATGCCCAGTGAGAAACAAACAATGGCAAGAACAACATATGCAACAATCACTTTTCCGTCATTTGTTATTAACATGCCACCTCAGAAGACCGGTGCAGTCAAATCTGTTTGCATTGCGTGCTTTAGGCTAGTTTGCTCACATGAGTAGGGCAGCTGCATGTACACAGCTGCTCGCCCACACTGTGTGGAAGGCGGGCGATCATGCGAACTGGTGGCAGCGCTGGCCTGATTTTTCACGCTGAGTTGGACTTTGCCCGTGTCATCATATAAGCCATTTATTTGGGGAGGGGGGGTCACTTTTTCAATTGGATCCCTGTGCGCGCCAACCGTTTGTCACCTCAGACAAACGCACTCAGCTGCCTTTCCCCCGCGCCGCGGCAAGGCGGCGGCTGCTTGGGTCAGATGCCTCCGACGATGGTGCGGCAGCCTTGCCTGGCAGCGCGAGTTGCCAGAGGCTTTGCGGACGCAGCGGCTCTGTTTGGTCATGCACGTCGGGAGGTTCCTGATAGAGAGCCCCCAGTAGATGATGAGCCGCGACTGAGATGCTTTGGGAGTAGGATTATGCCAGGGTGCTACAGCTTAATTTGAATGCACTCTTTTCTGAAGATCTTGGCCTCAAGGTTGCCAAAACGTGCTGGGGGAACGGCATGCTCATGCCATCGGAGGCATGCAGGCTGCTGTTTTGCCTGGCAGGTGGTCATGCGAAAGCAACTGGTGGCAGCCTGGGTCACAGCAGCTAGGACGGGAATTGGATTGCCTCCGGCATGTCCGTGTGATATCCCTTTTTGTTGGCATCTGTTTATGAAGGGGGAGGGGTCAGTGCAGGAATTCCACCCTGCTGAGACTGAAGCTGCAGGGCGACGCAGTCGCCGAGCTGTGGCTTGGCCAAAGCTTGAGCTCGGGGAGCCCTACATTTTCAGGCTTGTTGGACGAGGGGCTTCAACGGATTTGGAGTGCTTTCCCGGGCTTGACTCAGCTCATGAACTACTTCTGGAGTGAACAAATGGGTCCCTACGTTCCAGCAAAAAGTCTTGGAATTTCCGGGGAGAGGGGGGGGGGGTTGAGGCAACACCATCTCTTGCCAAGCAAGTTTCAAGACGAACAAGTCAATAAGTCTTTGATAAGCGGTGGTAGGCGGCAAACAGTCATGGTGAGAAACATGAAAGCATGTCGTGCATGCACACAGGTTGGTGTGTGTGTGTGTGTGTGTGTGTGTGTGTGTGTGTGTGTGTGTGTGTGTGTGTGTGTGTGTGTGTGTGTGCGTGCGTGTGCGTGCGTGCGTGCGTGCGTGTGTGTGTGTGTGTGTGTGTGTGTGTGTGTGTGTGTGTGTGTGTGTGTGCGTGCGTGTGCGTGCGTGCGTGCGTGCGTGCGTGCGTGGGTGGGTGGGTGGGTGTGGTGGGTGGGGTGGGTGTGGGTGTGTGTGTGTGTGTGTGTGTGTGTGTGTGTGTGTGTGTGTGTGTGTGTGTGTGTGTGTGTTTGTGTGTGTGTGGGGGCCGTTTTGAGCTCAGGACGGTGTCTTCACGTGCAGGCGCCGAGCAGTTCCTTAACTTGTGTGGGGCAAGGCTAAAGAAGGACCGCTTCTGTGCACCTTGCTCAGCCAAGTTGCACCAGGATTTTCTGCTGTTGGCCCAAGCTTTGAGTAGTGATTGGATTTGATTGATTGTGCCTTGCATGAATCTTCCCAAGTTTGTTGCTCGAATTTCGCCAGCAGAGACTAGCAACCATCGCAAGCCAGTTGGCCTTAGGTGCTGCAAGTTTGAGGTGTTGGTCTTATTCCCAGAAAGCTGGGACACCATCCTGGATAACGGTCATGATTGATTCAAGCGGTTCCAGCCCACCATCCCTCCAAAGCGACCCATTTTGAGACGCATGCATCCTCTAAGTCACTAGGGCCACTAAACCTCCCCGTGCCAAGGGGTGCCAGACCACATTGGGAGCGGCACTTGAGCCGGATAGTCCACAGGAGCACTACCGCAACGGGGGCGTGGCCAAGAGCCGCTTCGTGCTCTGTGACGAGGGCGGCTCCCCGCTCGCGGTCTTCGGGGTCCTCTTTGGCCATGCGGAAGGCTGGGGTTGACAGTTCGTCAAAGGGAATAGTCTGAGACTCCAAGAAGCCTTGCAATGGTTCCAACCTTTGCTGGGTAGTAGGCCTTGGAACTCCCCCCTCCCAAAACACGACACAGGTGGCTTGCAAGCCTGAGCTTTGCCTGTTGCCAGGGGCTCCTTTCGTGCAGATTGTGGGTGAGGCTGGTGATGAGGAGACGCTGGCCAGCGGCCCAGTTGCCTGATGAGTGACAGCGTTATGCTTGAGTGATGTGCAGCGGTGGGTGGGCAGTGCTTGCCTTTTACAGGCCTGCAATTCCGCCAATAGGCGGAACTTAGCCATCAACTGCCAAACTTGTGTGTTATGGACTCACGAGGCGCCTGTCACTTTACTGAAGCCTTTCAGGAAGATGTGGCAACTGAACGGAGTAGTTTCAGAAAGCTTATCAAAGGTGGTTTCGGGTGCAACGGTTGTCCGCTGAGGAGCCGTTCGAAGACTGGGTTGTGGTTGCCACAGAGCAGGTGGTGACTGCTGTCCCAGAGGAGGTGGAGAGAGTGCCTTGTCCTGGTTTGCCATGGGCCAGAGGGCAAGCGCTTGTGGTGCTGCTGCCCTTTGTTTGCCAGCCTTTGCAACATTTTCGCGGACGTTAATTCCTGCAAAGTTTCGATCTGTTCTGTATTCAGGCCCCGCCATGCAGAAACTTTCGGGACGTTGCACGGTACAGGGGCAGGGACTTGCAAGGTTTCGGCAACAGTGCGACAAAGATCAAACTCGCCGATTCGCAGTGGGGGGTGCAGTAGCCGAAACATCGCAAGTCTCGCGGAAGTTTGCACCTTGCAAGAAACGAAGACTCGCCCAACTTGCCGGGTTTGGCGAACACCTCGCAAGTTTTGGCAACACTTGCAAGGTTTCTGCCATCGACATGTTTCTTGTTACCGAAGCAAATGAACAAACTCGGTCTCGCGCGGTCGACGTGTCAAACCTTGCAGGAAAATAAGCCAACAGAGCAAGCATACTTCTACCCAACTTGCTCTTTCAAGCCACTGGTTCATCCCCCGTCCTGCGGGTGTTCTGAGGAGGCGGCGCGCATCGCGTCCGTCAAGGCCCGGGAGCGGCGCTGGCCCGGCGACGGCAACCTGCGGCCTGTGCCGCGCGGTCTGCGGGGGAGGGGGGGATGTCGGGGTCCATTTGTTGACCCCGGAAACCCAGGGGTGGCCCTGGATGTTGGCCAATGCAGCGATGTGTCTCTGTCTTGGTGCTGTGGTGAAGGTAGCTCGTTCAGCCACTTGCGAGGTCTCAGGGCTGGCTTTGCATTCGCTTGTCCAGGCAGGTCAAGGCTCACGCTCTTTCCAAAGACGGTGAGATGGACACTTACAGGGCGTTTGTGGAAGTTGCCTTTCCTTGTCAGTTGACGCCTTACTCTGCCATGTTTGCCGTTCATGTGGCAAAGGGCAAAAAAAAACAGCTCTTTCAGGTTTTCCTGACAACGCTCTGTTTTTTGCTTGAAAAGACCTGCTGTAATCCGCTGAGTTAAACGTTAGCTCCGCCTTTCAATTGCGCCCGGGTTGCCCAAGTTGGCCGTGTGTGGCGCTGTCCGCAAATTTCCCTGCACGATTTTCCTGGCGTCCAACCGGACTTTCCCAGCTCTGAGGCCCGCGCCCAGCGCGGAGCTCCGGGCCAGCTTGTACAGAGACAGCTTCGCGGCCTCCACGCAGGAAACCCGCAGGGAAGGGCCCTTTGGTTTTGGGACAAACGGACCGGTCTGCTTACTGAAGTTGAGTTGCCTAATGCAAAGCTGCAACCTGCTGACATGCGCTGTGCGTGAATGCACCATGTTATGTACACTGGATTGCCTAGCGCACTCGTCCAAGCAGAAGGCATTCGTTTGATTCTAGGGGCAGATTTGAAAGCGGCTTTCGTGTTTTAGGGTTTAGGTTTGGAGCTTGAAGAGTTTTTCTCAACCTTATGCTCTTGCAAGATTGCACTTGCTGGGACGTGCTGTAAACGTCGACTGGAATGCCCATTTGAGATGCCATTTGAGTTCTGGCACGTGGTGAGGCATATCCCTTCCATTTTGTTTGTTGGTGCCTTCGGGAAGTCTATGGGTTTACGACCCTTGGTACTCGTCTGCTGGTCGGTATGCAAATCGTTGCTTTCACAGCTAGCTCCCTCCGAGCAGGTTTTGTGCAGTTTGTGTTGCAGCCTACCCTTTGTGGGTTTCGAATGGCATGCTCGATTTCTTGATGAGCTCTGCGATGGTCCCGAAATATGGCGCGGCAGAGGCTTCCCAGGTTTTTGTTTGGGGCAGTTGACAAGATGCTGGGCGCAAAAGTGTACTCTGGCTGGCAAGAGGCTGGGCCCCTTCTCGGTGCACGGTTGGAGTTCCACGGGTGCAGCTGCCGCATATTTTCTCGTTCGGTCAGCGCCCTGTCCGGACCAGACAGGTGGAAAATGGCGCCGTCTTCGCGGTCCGCCTGCATCGTGAGGTGAGCCACACCCCCCCAAAAAAAGAGAGAGAAAAATAACGGGTTGATGAAGATTCGCAAGGGATAGTCCCAACCATAAGATGGGTGCAGCCGCCTTTTTAATTCTTGACATGGCTCTGGATAGACCATTTGAATACAGGGTTTTGATTATGACTCAGGTGAGAACGCGGAAGAAACGCGAGCAGCTACTGCAACAAATGCATGCAAAGCAGTGCTGCAACACCGCCGAGCAACATTCACCGACTGAGCTAATCGTGCCAACAATATGGCGGGGCCCAGATGGAGTTGCGCAACGGCAGCGGCCAACTCCATGCAACCATGTGCGCCCATCCTCAAAATCCCCACCCGCCCTACCCGCAGCGCGTGCCCCTCATGGCATTTGACGCAGGAGATCGAGGTGGACGCGGCCCCTTGGTGACGTCCTGGGAGGTTGGCGTGCCAATTTCTGTAAGTGTTTCCCGACATGTTTTGTTGCCAGGTTTCTTCATCATCTTAGTTCAAACTTTTCCTAGCCAGTCACCTCAGCAGGTCAGCAAACCGGTCCCCTGAAAAGCCCAAACTGTTTGGTTTGGTTTAGCTCCCACTTGAACACCATCAACAACAACGTCTCCCCAATTTCGGCACCCTCTATACATCGCCCCTCTGCCTTGCACCTCGGAACTAGGCCATGGGTTTGAGTCATGTACGCTGCAAGCAGAACATCCGCCCGAGCTTTGCACATCGATGTTTCCCGACTGGAATCTCGTACAAGTGGTGGTGATCAGTTGCATTTGCCCAGTGTGCTCCAGTTTTGCTAGCTTTCATTTGTGCTTGTAGGTCTCAGATTTTGGAAGCTGTTTGATTGGAAAGGACACCTATGGGAAGCCATGCGTTGATTGGGATTGGGACCTTAATTCTGCCTTGAAGCGCAGCTTGTGCCACTTCGCCCTCCGGCCAAGGAACCCCTTCTCTCCAACATCCAACAAGGACACAGCCCCCACGAAGGACACCCATGAAGCACCCAATGCTCCAGCGGCTGACCCGCCGAAACACTCCTTTTTTGCCCTTTACCCCTTCCTTTTCTCGCATGCTTTTTCCTTCTCCGGGCGAGTGGGCCGAGCGATCGGGCGACTGGGCGGAGCGCCAAGTCTTGGACTTGCGCCATCTGCCTTCGGGGCCCCGAGCCGCTACCGCGGCAGCTGCCCTGCGGCCACGCCTTCCACGGCGCCTGCATCAAGGCCGCTGCGGGGACCGGGCGCGGGACACCAATGCCTTGCTCGAAGACATGAAGGCCACCATGCTTTATGTATTTGGCCGTGACATGATCTGTGAACAAAGCAGGAACCCCTAAACACAGTGCTCCAAACGTGCCTGCAGTTGGTGCTTGCGAGCTTTGAGCAGCCCTTCAGCCTGAGGTTAAGCAGCAACTTTCAGGGCTTACCTTTTTGGCTGCAGCAAATCTGGCTCGTTGCAGCTGAAAAGGAGCTGCTGGCAATGTTGGCAAATGCCATAAGCAACTGTGCGGCCATCAGTGCCCGTTGCCTCTGCGATCTGCCCTGCCGGAAAGGTGCTTTGGGGTTTCAGGACTTTGGTTCGCAAAATGAACGTTTTAAGGCTCAGGCGCTGTGTGGACTTTTGTGCTGCTAGTTTCGAATCCAAAATTTGAGCGTTTAGGGTTTAGGGTGGGTGTGCGAAATGTTATGATATGTATATATATATATATACACACCGACATGTGTATCTTGACGAAATGGGGTAATCGCAGAAAGGACATTGACACTTCTAAAGACTGTGTCACATTGTCAATCGCGGGAACTCGCATATTGTCCCAAAACCCAAGAAACCGACGCAACTCCCTTGTTTGTCCCGCGGCGCGCGCGAACACACATTGCCCACCTTGTTGACAATCCTGCTTTCGACCACAAACAGCCTGGAAGCTTGGCAGCCGCGTGGATCATGCAGCGATGAGGTGCGGGGCGCATGGTTCACCGCCCTTGCGGAGAACACCCTCACACAATTGTTTCTGGCGCCGACTTGCAGACCAAGGGTGAGACTCGAATTTTGCACCGTTTCTAGGTTGTCTTGATTTGAGGATGACAGCCGACGTGGGGTTTGAGGACAGCATTTGAGAATCACAGGTTCCATGGGAGGTTCATGAACAAAATCACACCACGAACCAGAACGACAGAGCCACGCCCTTTGACAGTTGGCAGCTAGCCAGGCCCACCAGTACAATGACAGCACACTTTGAAACCCCGCGGAAAGGTGTTGTTGTTAAGTCCCTCCCCCACTTCAGCCCCATCGATTACAGCATGTAGTCCTTTCATTTGTGGTCCTTGCCAGGCCTGGCTACGGCATGGCAGCAAGTGCCCCTTGGGGCGGTGCTTGGTGCACCAGGAGCGCTAGCAATGGGCGAGCCAGTGGCGCAGCGGGATTGAACCACTTGGAATTGCTTTCTCCAAGCGGGTGTGTGTTAAAAAAGGGGACCCTCCCCCAAAAACAAGAGTGGATTCCAGTTGGTTGCCACTTGAAACCACCCGCAAAAAGGGTACCGTCAAAGCACGCCCAAAAGGCTTTGAGAAGTGGTTGGCACAACGCAATTCTTAGCGTCATAGATCCCATTGCTATGGCGGGATCCCTCCGTCTGCTTTCATGGGCGGTCAATCTCCGAGACGCCTCTCCTTAGTAGCTGGTGCCGGTCTCTTGATTGGGTCTCGTTTCAAGTTCATGCTTGCAAGTGGGGTTGGATCTGTTAGAGTCGAGGTGCAAGCTCATGCAACCCTGGTTGATGTGAACAGCAAGGGTCATAATGCAAGAGAAGCGAGGCGGCGTCAGAGAAGTTTTCCGTTCACCCGCTGTTTTGATGGCGGGCCAAGTTTGGGTTTGTCCTGTGAGGACGTGCTTGCCGCCTTGCGCACGGCCATGGATTTCAGCACCTCGCATGTCGGATCTGGGATCTGGGGTGATTCGCGGTCACGATCTCGACTGAGATGTCAGTGTGGGAGCTTGCTGCTATGTTCTAAGGGCGTTGCGAGCAGCCGGCAACAAGGTGTGCATGCCCTTTTTGGGAGCAGTAAGCAGGCCAGAGAACAACGCCCCTGCTTGGCCTGTAGCTGCAAGGCGAACACTTGAAGCTGCTTTCCTCTCAGGTTTGGCCCGCGGCCCTTAAGGACAGCAATGAACCTCAAGCTTGCATACTGAGCATGCGACTCAACCCACCAACCTAGCCTAGCCACAGATCTTGCTAGCAAACGAATTCCAAGGCCCGAGTCGCCTTCGAAGCAGGGAGGGCATTCCCGGACAACTATAACCAAAGGCGCATTTCCATGCCAAGTGGCGATTGGGCCTTCTCTTTCTTCAGGTGGTGCAATGCCTCCAGGTTCGATGTAGGGATTCCATTGTCCCCTAGCTGGGTGGCGCGTGCTTGGTCATTTATGCCCAGTTTCCAAGCAAACATCGCGTTGGCATTTAAGGAGCGTGCGCAGGCTTGTTTGTGTTGGATGCTTCTGCGGCAGCGGTGTGGGATTGGATTTTGGGGCATCAAACCGATTTCGCCGAGCTGCAAGCAAAATGGTTTTGCTTTCGCAAAGCGGACATCAAGTGTCAGACACCGGCATTTAACAGGGCACCTGGCCAACCCCAGCAATTGAACAAACTGCCAACCCCACAGCTAGAGTCTTGATTGGGAAATACCTGCAGCTGATCTATCAATGCTCCCTTTGCAATAAAGTCCATGCTTGGAAAAGGCACGCCCTGATTCATTCACCCATGATTATCTTCATTTTTTCCTTGCGAGAAGCATACGGCGTGTTCCAGCTCACGAGGCTGTCGGGCCTGGTCTGGGAAACACTGGCGGAGTGTTTTGGGAGTCCTGAGGTCTTCCAGAGATGGGGGCCTGGCCCATGCTTCCGGCAGATGTCGTGAAGGAGGGCCTGTGCCATGGGGACGGCATGGGGGTTGGACGTGAAGGCCACGCGGTTTCTCCCCTGTGTTTCTTTCTGGTCTGTGGAGGCCGGCCCTTTCCAAAGCCAAAAGGGCCCTTGGAGTCCACCATGGAAGGTTGACGTCGTTCTTGGTATAAATGATGGCTTGCGTCTGGACGGTGGATGGATGATTATGGCAATGGCTTGTTTCTGTGGTTTGAGCCGAATGCCTTTTCCGTCCGCCATGAGGTTTGACTTCTCGGCTTCAGCCATTTGTGTGCAAGCTCGCCTGGCCTGCAGCCTCCGTGCCGATGAGGAGCTCAAAAAACAGCACCCTGGCAGCGCTCGGGTTGGAGCCCCCGAGGCCAGAGCACTGGCGGCGCATCACGGGCTTCGTGGTCGCGCCCACACGCCGTCCAGGCCATCCAGTCCCTCCACTTCCAGATGCCCAAGTGGAGATCAGGGCGCCCCCTGAGACTACAGAGGCTGAAGCAGCGCAGCGATAAGTTGCATTTCGGCCGGAACAGAAGCAGCTATAGCTTCGGTTTTGGAATTGCGGTGCTAGGTATTCTTGAGCCGTTGGTGTGTTTGGCAGGGCTTGCAGCAGATCTTGTGTCTGTGGATGGGCCAATTGAAAGGGTGTGACATTCATTGAGGCCGTTTGCGGCTCGCAGATGCAAGCCGTGCGAAACACGGTGCTCAGCTTATGCCGTGAACAGGGGCACAAACAGCTTATAGTGCAGCCAGAACTGCTTTCCCTTTCCGACTTACTTGAAGGGTTGAACAAATTGCGGGGTGACCCAAAAGGCTGCAACAGAGTCACAGCAGGCAGAGCTACGCGGTTCAGCGGGCGAGCTGAGTCTCAGAAGGGACATTCTGGCGTGAAGTCGTCACAGCTCGTTATTACCAAACAAAAATAGCGCCACAACCCCATGGGTTGATACATTTCAGTTTGACTCCCCCCTTTTGAGATGCTCGGCAGTTTGCCCTGAAGGTCATATTCATATTTACATGGTTTGTCAGTTCTTATAATAATACATGCAGGTTGGTGTGAGGGCTGGTGCAGTGTGCTGGTGCAGGGCAAGCCCCGGACATTGAGCAGTATTGAGGAGGAGCAAATTTTTCGGAAGTGTCTCGAGCATCAATTCGTGCGTTTCACAGGGCTTGCATCGTATTTTTGGGATGCAATTCGTGTGCAACACGGTATTGTGAGATTTCACATGCCATTGGCGCTCAGCTTTGCTTTGCTATGGTCGGCCTGAAGAACCGGGGCAACAACAGGCAGGGTGACCTAACCAGGTTGCAACAAGGTCATTGTCACTGCTGACAGAGCTGTACGTCTCAGCCAGTGGGCGGAGTCTCGCACCAAGCCGTTACAGCTGGTTGGCACTCAATTTGCACTGCTACAGCTATCATGCTTGGCTGATGCATTTTGTCTCCGATACTTCCTGAGCTACAACCTGGCAACGTGTTTCCTTTTTCCCACCTTTGTGAAAGATTCAAACTGAGCTCGAGTGGACCGAGGCCTTGGTAGCTCGACTAGCTGCCAAGGCCGAACATGTGTCCAAGGAGGCAAGATGCGAGCCAGAAGGCGTGGCTTTGCTTGGCTTTGCGCCCCTGCTGCAACAGAGTGTTGACTCATCGCATTGTCGACCTCGTCCAAGGTTGGGACCTGCCATGTTGGATAGGAGCATGTAGCTAGCATAGAAGCATACCTATCGAGTTCTCTGCCCAAAATTTCGGCTGAAGGCGTCTTAAAGGAAAGGTGCTTACAAGGCTCAGGCTTGCTCTGAGGCTTTTGCTAGTCATCAAGCCACTCATCCCTGGTCTGTGCAGCAAGGGCGCATTCGTTTACCCAAGAGCTCCTGATTGAGGGGCATTCTTCCATGGATGGCAAGCTCAAGCTTTGGTACAATCTCTTCCTTGATTGTTCTTTATGTTGGCTATGATGCGTTTGGTTGTTTGAGCCAGCCATCTGTGCGGATTTGGTTTGTAGCTCAGTTTTGCATCAGCGTGGCTGTGTGTGTGTGTGTGTGCTTGGTTGATACGTTCAAGCAGGCCTTGCACGGCTGCATGCGGCTGCCGAGAGACGCCCATGATTTAGTTTTATTTTACATGCGTTTTGCACCAAGAATTGCAGGGAAGGGCTGGGCGTAGTCATGCAATGTGGGCTGTCATTTTCGTCAGATGGGAAGGCACCGCATGCAGGCAGTCCTTCCGCTCATGCATTTGCCCGAGGGCAGGAGGCTGAGAGCACGCCGCTTCACCCAGCCACAGCAAGGACCCGAAGCCGTTACTGGCTCAGCTCCAGGCTGTTTTGCACAGCTTGCATTTGATATGCGGGTTGTGGGCAGGCCAAGGCCTGAAACCCATCTTGGCACGTGTTGCAGCTTCGTACATCAGTTTTGTAGGCCGCAGGTGCAAGCTGTGCGGCATAGCTGGTCCGAACTTCGCAACCGGCTCGGCACAAAGTCGTTGATTTAATCGGATCAATTGCAGGGAAGGGGCAAGAAGCCTTTCATGAAAGATGTTTTCCCTGCTTTGCCATTCTTATTTGCATTTTTGCCTACCTTTGCGTTCCTGAGTGGCGAGACCTTTGAATACACTTGAGGGAGGGCCTTTGGCATCCTCGAAGCACCCTTCATGGGTCCTTCGTGCGTCAGAACTAGGGAAGGATGGAGGATGTTTGGGCTTGAGCCACTTCAACGGGTACGAAGGCTTTGGCAGGCCTGTCCACTTGGCAAATGGACGGCCGCGCTAGAGAGCTGGATGGCGCATGGCAGATGGCAGGCAGGTACTGGAGTTGATGTGTGGCGGACCCCGAAAGGATGACACATTTCAGAGCAGGGGTGCTTGATCTTTCCACCTGCCCAAGATTGCGAGGCACAGGGGGCATTTGGGCATTTGCTTAGTGAACGCGAACCAACTCTTGCAGCCTGTGTGTAGCAAGTCTGTCTCACCCCTGCGTACTTCTAGTCCCCAATGCAGGTAGCACTGGAAAGATTAGTATCTATCCATTTGGAAATGACACTTTGGTGAGGGCAGTTTGCTTGTTCCGCCTCGGGGAGGGTTGCATCTCTGCCGATCCTCGGAGAAGGAATGAACTTAACAACTCAATTTCTGAAAATCTTTCTCCAAAGTTTATTCCAGCCCCTGGGCATCTGCACAGTTGCCTGACCAAGGCAGGCAAGCAAACAACAGAAGGAGAAAGGGGAAGGAAGCAAGGAAGCAAGGAAAAGCAAAGCCAAAGCCTTGCCAGACTGACCGCACTCCTAAGTCATGCCACAATCGTGGGCCGACACACCCTACAACAAAGCAGCCCCCAACAACCACGCGATGAGCCTAGCACCACTCATGACTGAGCGTAGGTTCGCGTAAGCCCACCCTAGCTGGCCCTAGAACAACGCGAGCCCACCCCAAAACTTCCAGTCCGAAAAACGAACATGGGCCTGAAACCAACCCTAGAAGCCTGAAGAAACCTCGAGCACCGCCAAGCACCTGCCATTTTCCATGTTAGTGGGTGAGGGCAGAGTCCGGACTGAACAAGTTGCTTCTTCTGCAAGCTCGACGCCTGGCCAACAGCCTGGCCAATCTGCTCTTTTTTTCTTGGCAGACTTGATTTGGCCAAGGCTGGGATTGCGCTACGCTCGCGTCCCCTGGCCTGGCTTGGTCATAACCGATCAGGTCGTGGCTAAACAATGAGTCCAATTCACCATCCTTTGTGAGTGCGGGGGCCGTATGAGAAATCCCATCTTGAAATTGGAAATGGCCCAAGACAATGATTCGATGATGGTGAATTGAGTCACTCGCGCATGCCGTGGTTGTTTGGGCCAAGCTCCGTGTCTTTGCGTGTTTAAGCCAAGCCTGCAGATGCCGGGCTTGTGCAAACTGGTTGCATCTAGTCGCCAGCGTGACAAAGGGTGCGTGATGAGTGCTGCTCGGCACGAGCCAGGGCTGATAGCAGCTTCAGGAAGGCCAACAACATCCCAAGCACCAGCCTCCTTCCAATGGCAGGGGCAGGGGCCTTCCAAAGGAAAGCGGCCATGAACTTGGGGCCTTGAGACCCGGCCCTTGCCTGAGGTTTTTGGTTACTTCCAATGGTCTATTTGAGAGGGACATGGGCAAAGGAGCTCCGAGCTTCAACCGCAAAAGCCGGGGGACGCGTTTATGATTTTGTTTTTGTTTTTTGCTTCGTCCCCTTCCGGGACGCAAAAGCATTTGACCGTGCCTCATCTCGAGGACAGCGGGGTGGCGGAGCACGGCAACGGCAGAGCCGCGCTGCCCCACGAGCGACGGGGCCGAGGCTTTCGGAGCGAGCGTGTGACTGCTTCGTACAAACTGGATTGGGAGTGTCGTTTGGGGTTTGCAATTCTCTCGCTTTGGATAGTCTTAAACATCAGGTTTTTGCGCTGACTTGGAAGGAGTTTCCTTTTGGTGGAGCTGCTTGAAAGGGACAGAACAGCAAGGAATCCGCCCATGTTTGCTTTGCATTCTGTCGCCCCGAGAAAGTTTTCTCACCAGTGGTGTTCGAGTGTCTCGCATAGTCAGAGGTTGGAAGCCCGAACCACAAACTGGGGCTTCCTTGTGCCTCGAAAACGCGGGTTTGCACAGCTGGCAGAAGTTTTAGTGTTGGCACAAAGCTGTCACAAAGCTGAGGTGGGACCTCTGGCATGGTTTCGCCTTTTGGGGCGCGTGGCCCTCTTCCCCTCCGGTCCCCCCCTCCGTTTGGTTCTGCATCCTGTTTGGGCAGGCTGGCAGCGCTTCCGCTGCAAGGATTTCAATGCACAGATCTTGGCTGGGCGCTTAGACAAGCATGCGGCACATGCAAAGGGCGAGGGGGGGGGGAGCGCAAACAGGAGGCCAAGAGTGGCACGGAATGGGGCAACAGGACGGGGCTGGGGCTGAATCCCTGCAAGATAATATGCTCTTTGCAATTGTGGCGATGACTTTGACAGCTGAATTCGGGCATGAGCCTTGTTGGTGACTGTATAGAATGATTTTGGCCCCAAAAGGATACTGTAGTGTACCTTCGCATTGACAGACTTGAAAAATGAAAACGGCAGCCTTCGTGTTGGGGACTCTGGGAAGCCATTCTGGCGCTTAGGTGGAGCGCTTGTGCTGAGGGCAGCAGTTTCACCGGCGGGCTGGAGGCCATAGGCCTCGGCACAGTAGGCCAGGGTAGATGTGACCTCAAGCAGCAAGGGAGGTTTGGTCGATCTTGACATCCCTTGAGGACCCCCGCCCGCTGGAAGGCAGAGAAAGAGCGAGGGCCCATGCAACAGGCAATGGGAGCCCGACATCGCAAAGTCCGATCTTGCCCTTAGCCGCTCCTCAGACTTGCCATTGTAAGCCTGGGGGGGCATAGCCAGTCTGTCCTCAGGGTTGTTGATTGGCGCAAATTCGTCCCGCGCTTCGCACCTCCGTGGCAGCTTCAATTCTTTTTGCATCATCTAGTTTTGCACTAGGTTCATGGCTGCAGGGGCATCAGTCAGGGTGCAGCCCCAAGTGGTCCTCTGGGCCAGGCGACGCGTGCGGCCCGAAGACTGGCCTCGACCCGAACAGCTGAAACAACAACGTGCGACAGGGCAGCGCAGAGTCTCCGGATTCGTTTATGTATTTTAATCCTTTTGCAAGTAAGCGCCGATTGACTGAGCAACATGTTTTCGCCGCGACGCATTGAGGCCTGCACGGTTCTTATTTCAACCGCACTGTCCTCTGCTATTTGGTTGTGGGCGCTGTTGTGGAAAAGAGGGACCTCAGCTCTGGCCTGCCCAATGTGAAAGTTGTTGCTCCTTGCTTGTGATGGGCAAGCCGTCGTGTGGCAGAGCTTCCGTGAGAAGCCCCTGGACACGTTGCAGAGGCTCATGCCAGCCCAGCAGGCAACTCTTGCGGCCGATTCCGCGTCAACATGTCATGTGCTGGCCCGCCATTTGCCGCAACGCTGCCTGGCTTTGGCTTGCAGGCTGCCATGCGCAGGGCCAAGGGGCATTTTGGCCAGACAGAAGCCAAGCATCTCCGGCCTGAAGCAATGGGGAGGCTGCGGGGCTGGTCTTGGACAGAGGCTAAAGGCGCGGCGCACCATAACTAGTTAGATTCCTCCAAATGGCTGGTTTCACGTTTGGTCTCCTTTTCAAACATGCCACCCAAAAGGGCTTCTCTGTACCCCAATCCCGTGAGCCAAGGCAATATCCTATGCTTCTGACCTTAGCCCACTGTATGCAGCAGGCTGAAAGCAGACCCTTTTTTGAGGTTTGCAGTTGTTGTTTACCAACACAGGTGGGGGAACAGTTGGTTTCCACGGAAGCAGGTCAACAGGGGTGGGTGTCCCCTACTTGTAGCGCCGCTCGTCCCACATTCGTTGCTTCGAGCCTTTTCTGCAAGACTTTGGGCGCAACAGTGGGTGCTCTTTCCCAATGAGAATCTGAATCAGCTGTTGGCGGCACGGTATTGGGTCCATGTGTGCATTTGGCACATTTTGGGGGCGTGGTTCGGCTTTCCTGTCTGGGCTGGTGGCTGGGCGCACTGCAAGCGGAGTCGTTGAGAATCCAGCAAGTGTCCTGCAATCTGGGCCTTGTTCATCGGACTTTGGTGCTCGTGCAGGCTGACTCACTGTCCAACAAGCTTGGCTCCGCCACTATTTGCCTCGCAAGGCCGCTAGTGCCCACAAGCCTGCCATGAACATCCGGACAGCTGCAGTCGGAGGCAGGCCCGACTGCTTGCACAGATGAAGGGATCATGAGAGCTCAACCAGTCGAACTGGCATCGAACATGAGATGCTTATCGCCGAGCTGTGGCAGACCGATAGGGTGGCTCAGTTCAATTGCCAATTGCTGACACAGAACCTGGTATCGTTCAAGAAACATACGCTCTTCGGCACGCTTCAAGTCGCCAGGATCAAGAAAACCCACTTAAGCCCTTGCAAGAGCTGATTGGCCACGCAAAGCCGCACCTCGCTACCTTCCTTAGCTGGTTTCCCTGCGCGTCGCCATGGACTTGAAGTCGAAGCCGAGCATGGGCCGTGTGGGCCGGGCATTGCAGTCCGGAGCTCAGTCTCAAATTTTGGGTGCCCTTCTGCTCAGCCAAGTCCGGGGAAATGCTTGTGCCGTGGGCCTGCCACGGCTCACGTGCTCACATGAGAGGCCCAAAGAACTTTTTCTGCATAGGGCCACTCCAAAGAAGTCCTTGCTGCCAGGAGCACGGTCATCCTCGCCATCATGGCGTGTCTGGTGCTTCTCGTTACATTTCCAGGATGGCGAGGGGTGGCCCACAGGGGTGAGGGAGTGGGGTTGCGCCTTTCATCTGAGGCCGTAGAAACTTTCAGTTGCTGTTGAAGTGACGTACTGAGCCCCTGAGTAAGCAAGCATGAGATCAAGCCAGGACTGGAGCCCGAGAATGCTAAGCAGCAGTCCTTGCAGTTGGCCCTGGCAGGACTCGCGTCGTATCCCGCCCGTTGGCTCACAATGCCCTGGCTAGTGCAGGAACACTGACGGCATTCCTCATCGCCGTCGCCTTCATCCCCAAGGTGTGGGCTTTGTTTCCAGCCTTGTCCTGGCATTCCGCTTGAGGCCCGGCCGGCGGCACCACAGCCCTGGATGCGCTTCTCGGCCTTGTAAAGGGACCCAATGTCTTGAACCCCCAGCTGAAGCTGAAAAGACCGCAGGGAGATGCGGGGGACGGCCTTGCCTTTCCACCTTCGTGTTCAGGTTATACCAGCGCCGTAGTGGTCGTGCTGGTGACCGTGGCGGTGCTAGCCCTAGGTCGACAGAGTCCGCTTTCGTGCGCTACTTCGCTGGCAGAGGTGGCGACCTACCCGCTTCATATGTACCCCGTCACGGCCTGCGGAGACCTCTGGAGTACAACCATCGAGGCGAGTGAGTGTTTGTTTCTGTGACTTTCAGAGAGTGGCTGCCAGGGCTACGCTTGCGGGCCTTCTTGGGAGTTCACAGGCCAGGCCGGCCGATGCGCAAACAGGCTTGGCGGCTTGGAGCTTGAACATGGGCAGCGACCAGAACCACACATGCGTTTGGACAGAGACAGCCAAGGGGGGCCACCTTGTTTTCTTGGCGTCTTCCCCAGTTCCGGAACCAGGAGACCTTTGCTTTTTTTATTGCTTTTGCTGGTAGTTTCGAATGGATGGGGCGACCAACCGGGGGGGTGGGGTGGGGTGGCTCGACAGGCGACCTGTTGACGCTTGCGCTGACCACCCCGGCGCTCGTCCTGGCGCTGCTGCAATTCCGGAGCCCGTCCTCCTACGCCCGGAACAGCGCGGCTGAGTGCAAAGCAGTGCGCAAGCCGTAAGAGTCGCGCGAACCGCGTGGCAAAGCAAGCCGAACTTCAAGGGAGACGGTTGGTTCAATTTGTTTCGTAGAACATTTTTCAAGCTTGGGCACACTCAGTTTTGACACTGTGCCAATGGATTTCCGCCTCCCAGAGCTGGCTGCATGGCTGAGGTTTATTGCATCGCAGCCAATTGGCTGCTGTGGGTGGTGTGGGCCCTGGAGGACATGACTGACTGGTGCAACAAGGCGGTTCCCTCCCATGAGGTGGATGCCTGGCCGAAACGGATTTGGTGCAAAACGGCTGTGTTTTGAGGCTTCTCGTTTCAGGTTGCTTCAAGGGAGGTCAAAGGAAGACACATGCGTATTTTCTTTTGTGGGGGAGGTCCCCGACTACTGACATATTGAGAAGGAGTCCGGTCCAGAAAAGTTGGGCTTGCTCAGACTCGGACGGTTCGCGTGTCCAAAAATACACGCCCAGAAAGACGTGAACCAATTCCTGGCCGCACTTGGGAAGTGCCTCACCTCGATCCACCTCGTTTGGATTGCTGTGATGGTGCTCCGGCGCTCGCGCAGGCGGGCGGGGTTTGCTGTGAGGTGTTGCAGGTGTGGGGTGGGCGTGTTGGTCGCCTTTTCTCAGGATGGACAAAGCCTCTGAGATTCGGCACATGGACTTGTGCGGCGGCATCAGCCCCTGGTGGCTGGTGGTTCCTCGTCTTGAAGTTTTTGTAACTCTGCGAGACTTGACTTGCCGTACGTGCCAGTAGCGTCGAGCATTCCTCGTGGATTGTCCAGAACTCATGTTCTTGTGTTGCGGGATGCCCCGGCTTTGATGAAGACACACGCGCCATATTCCAGGTGGGGTGGGTTCCAGCGGGAAATCAACTGCAGATCTGGCTGAAGTGTCCACGTAGCCACGAGCATTTTTAGTGAAAGCCATGGGCTGCATGTCGGGAAAGAGCATGTATGAGCCTGCGCAGTACAGGCCGCAGCAAGACTACGACTACGACTGCCCATATGAGGGCCAACCTGGCTTTGTTCAACCCAGCTATGGTCGGCCGAGCTATGCTCAGCCAGAGTATGGTCAGCCCATGTATGGCCAGTCCTCATATGGCCAGCCCGTCTACGACTATGAGCCCAGCTTTGGTTATGCCCAACCACCAATTTATCCGCGGGCCTACGGGCAGTTCGAATACCAAAGTGAGCTTTCTGGGCCGTCCGAGCGCGGAAACGGTGCAAAGATGGCAATGGCGGCAGCCGGAGGTTTGGCGGTCGGCGCTGGCACGGTCTTTGCCGTGGAGCATGCGGGGGCGATTGGGCGATTTGCCGAGGACGCAGTGGACGATGTGGGCGGGTTTGTTGGTGTTGGCTTCCGCGATGTGGACCACCTGGCCAGAGACATTTTCTGAGCGAGCGTTTGAGTTGGCGGGCCTCAATAGCAGGGCTTGAGAGGAATGGCTACATAGTAATTACCCTTGTACAGGCCGTCCAGGTGCATCTTGGCTTAATCAGCAGGTCGCGTGTAGCTAATGCCATTTCGGCGACTGCAGCGCCTTCTTGCAGCTATGTACAGCTGGCTAAGAAATGCCAAGCCAAAGTTTGTCAGTGGAGTTCCAAAAGTGCACTGATCAGTAAGAGGATGCATCTACAGCCCCAGAGATCATGCGCATTCTATCCTTTCCCAGTCTTTTGCTGTTCTTTCGCAGTAAGGCAGTCCTTGCCGTGGTTGCCACGTTCACTCAGCTCGCGCGGTACGTTCACATCTATTTGTATGCGTCAGACATGTGGGCGACAATGAGCGGATTGGCTGCGGTTCGGGCCTAAGTTGAAACAGGCACATTTGACAAAATTGAGCCGTCGAATGCTGACCCCGGATTGATAATCCTATCAGATAAGCTGAGACGCGCCCTCCTTGGTTAGTCTCCCGCGGATTGATTCATCCTTAGAACCGGCAGAAGCCTCAGGTCTTGCTGCTTCCGGTGTGGGTCTATTTTGCCTACCTGCACGCCCGCGCGTTCCAGGCACGCTGAGAATGCCATTTGCAGGTCTGCTCGTGACACTGCACAGGAGCTAGCCTTTTATGTGCTATGGTGGCACGCTGCCCGAACCATTCAAAGGCATTCCCAGCTGGCAGCACATCGCGACAAGATTTGTGAGGCCTATCGGCAGCTGCTGACAGAGAAGGACCTCTCGGGCCCGCTGCTGGCGCAGGCTGGACACTGGCTATTGCTTAAAAGGCTATTTTACATTATCAAGTTCACTAAATATAAACCAACATTCCCATGGCACATATGAAAGCCAGGGAAGGGGCGTGGGAAAGTGCCGCCCACCGCTTGGTTGCCCGAAATACCCTGTGCCAGTGAGCAAAGAAGAAGTCCCCGAACCCTTCAGGAAAGGCGCTTAGAACCTCCACATGGGCGTGTGTTTCTGAGGGTGCATTTTGGAACCAAAAGCAAACCAATCAATTTGAGTTTGAGTGTCCCCCTATTGACAATATCCGCTCGAGTGCCATGGGAGCTTGTGGCTGAGGTGAGGTGGGCGCAGCAGGTCTTGCGCATGGAGCTTGGTGCTGGGCTGGTTCTGGCCATTCTCACGGGCGCGCATTGGGCACTCACAGGCGCCCTAAAAGGGGGGCTGCGGCTGCGGGGCTTGAGTTGTTTTCTTGTTCTTCTTGGGGGGCTGTGTTTAGGAGTGTTTGGAGATGGGGTCTTGGCCCTCCGGCACCGAAGGTTCCGGGGAGGCACGAGGTGATTAAAGCGGTTCCCTAAGCAAAACTGTTGCGCCAGCAACTGGGGCGCGACAACGCGCTCCGCCCGGAGCTTATTTTTGAGGCTTTTTGATTGAGGGATTTGTGGACTCGAAGGCGCGCAAGTCGGGGCCCCACACTTGGAGACACAGGAAACCAAAGGGTGCCAACCTGCAAAGGAAAATCGGGCATGCTGACCTACAGTACGGGGAGCAGCTTCCGGGATCAATTCTATGTAGATTCATTCAAAAAGTCTTGTGGGCACTTAAAGGGCAAATTTACTACTGGCCACTGAGCTGCTTGGGTGCCATGTCACTTTGTCCCGCCCCTAAAGGAAGTCCAAGAACAGGATGTCCACTTTCTCAACTGCGTGTGGCCAATGAACACGCAAGAACGCAACACCTCGATTTCAGCAATGGTGCCACATGGTGGGGCAAAGCGACCGCGCAAGCCGAAACAGGCCTGGCTCGTCGCCAGGCATTGTGGGGCTGTGTGGCGTGGAGAAGTACAGCCAGGCCCTTTGGGTGATGGCTCGTCCTTGACACCGCTCACCACAGCCAAAATGCGTCAGAATGCTGCACGAGCTGGGCAAGCATCGATGGACTTGTCTTGCATAATGGAAACTAGCCTTTTGGGGCCGAGGAGTTTGTTTGTGAGCAACCGGGACCGGCAAACTGTTGTTTTCAACTTCCAGACGCAAGTGAAATGGAACAAAACAGGGCAAACAACCAAGCGGGTGCCACAAGTTTCCCGTGCCCGGCTGCTTTTTTGCCGTGGTTTTGCAGCCCTCAAATGGCTGGTTTCCTTTTGGCCTCCCTCCCGCCTCACTCTGCCCACAGGCCTACTACTGGCTGCTCCACGCCCTGAAGCGGGGCACCGGGGTGGCGGACGCCTGGGGCTTGCTGGTGCTCAGCGGCCTGCTGCAGGCGTGCCTCGGATCTCAGATCTCAGCTTCAAGCCTGTCAGCCGGTCAGCCATCCGGCCAGCCGGTCAGCAGGCGGCTTGGATCCCGTCCGAGGCGGGGCGGTGGGGCGCTGAAGCCCCGGGCGCCCACGTGCTTGCCCCCGGCGGAGCCGGAGGCAGCCTGGCAGGCCAAGGCAGGGTTCGATTATGTACTATGTACCCATTAAGGACGGTTCATTCCCCCAAAATCCTGAAGCTGCAGATGTCCCCTTCTGCCGCAGAGGGCAGGTTGGGACTTTTTGCAGCTATGCAGAAGCAAAGAGCACTCTAAGAGGGACCCCGCTTTCTGCACTGGGCATTCGAGTTCCTCCAGCAATGGAAAAAATCGTAAGGCAAGTGGTGCCCCAAGAAAAGAACATGGAGGGTCAGGGCAGCATGCACGTGGGAGGGGCCGCCTTTTGCAGGTGGAGGAGTTGGCGAACCGAGGTGCGGTCCTGGGTGCGAGGGTGCTGGGGGGGGGGAACCACCGGCTCATGCAGAACCACAGGGGTCTGAAACGGATGGATGGCTGTTCTCCACAAGACAATCGAACCCAGGCAGAAGCGCTTGCAGGAAACAACGCTGCCTGCAAAGCTTTGCAAGAGCATGGAGGAACACAGATATTCGTACTGTTGTGTTGGAAGCCGCTTTCTTGGGCTCAGCTTCCTTTGGCTCGGGTATACTCGCACGGGTGAGGCATCTACCTCAGCGACCTCCTGGACTTCTACCAGACGCTGCTGGAGGGACAGGCAGAGACGGGGCGCAAATCGGGCTTCGAGCGGCTGCCGGCTTCAAGATTAAGATGCAAATGGCACATCATGTCACATCAATTTTGGCATGGATTAGGTCCTAAATCGGTTTCCTTTTTTTTTTTTTTTTATTAACTGCTTCCAAACGTAGGTCCAACAAGTTTTGAGACACCTTTAGACACGCCCTACAGAGCTCGTTCGGTTCTGCTAGTCAATCGGTAGGCGATGCGGGGCTTCAACGTGATGCGCTCCACCACTTCGGACGTGGCAAGGGAGGCGGTGATCCCACTGTCTCGGGGGGCCAAGGACCAGGACTGGGGCCCGGTCAACTTGGAGCCCTGCTTTTGTAGTTTTTTGTTTGTTTTTGGGTTGGTGGTGGGTCAAAAGCCAGAACTGTGGCACACGTCAGCCCCTTCAAAAAGGCAAGGGCCACATAGTAATTCCATTTGTCCTGTGGCGGTGTTCCTGTTTCAGAACCGCGGTCACTGGGGGGGGGGGAGGTGACTGCTGGGTCATTCTGAAAACGGCGCAGGAAGGCCAAGCTTTGGCGAGCGTGTGGAACAAGCAGCGCCTTGGAGAAGAACACGTATGCCAAGGAAGCCATTCATGTGCCTTATGGGGATTGAAGTTGTGTGGGCGCCTAACGCGATCCGCGGATCCAAGTAAATGGAGGTCTGAAGCCCACGTTGGCAGAGATCTGAGAGCCCCCGACCATCCTTCTTTGTTGAACCCAGCCACCTCGAAAGGCTAAAAGGGGCGTCAGGTAAAGCGGTTGGACGATTCGCGGGTCCCTCAAAGCTCTAATTTTTGCGAAGGCAGCCAGTCCTGGCTGAGCGCATGGTCGCCTGGCTCAATTTGGCACGGCAAATACCTGGCCCTGCGCGGCAAAGCCATAAAACCGTTGACCTGCGCGAGGTGACGCACAACTGGGGCAACCGCTTCTCGCACCTGGCCTCGGTCCGAGAACAGCGAAAGGGGCTGCTTGTGGGCACATCTTTTGGCGGTGCTCTTCTTGCTTGAGGTGGCAGCCATCGTGGCCGATGCCATGGGCTGCGCCGCGTGGCTCGAGATTATGCAGTTAGATTGCCAGCGGGCATGTTTGAGTGCAGTCAGAAGATGGACCCTCAGATCTTCTCTCCATAAATTGCTTGCAGCGAAGGCCTGCTATGCGGACGTCCTGGATAGCTTGCGGACGGTAAATGATGTAGTCGTAATGAGGGAAAAGCTGAACAAGACTGGAGCACTGCGCATTACCTACTGGGTGTGTGCAGCTTGGCTGGCACTAGAAAGGTCTCACACCCATCCTGACTCTCAATCCTAAATCTTGTCTCCTCGCCACATACATGACCAAAGGCATGTTAGGATAAAACGTGGGGTTCTGGGATCTCCTGCCGCATCCCCTCCCCACTTGTGCAAACATCCAGGTGTACATGCGGCTCGTGGCAGCTGTGGGGTTTGCGCTGTTACGTTTGAGGGTTGGAGTGGCTTGGCCCTTGCTACCAGCAAGGGGCTTTGCTTGAAGCGCCTGGAGTCGCATCCAAAGCTCGCATTGCAAACTCCAGTGACGTCCGGATGTTTCCCACTGACGCCACTCCCAATTGGCTTCGGCAGGTCTTCTCTTTCTTTCTTTTTTTTTGGGGGGGGGGTTGATTCCAAAGACCCATCTCCCTCAAGGTCTTCTGCGTGAACCAGCACGCCAGCATCTGCGCGGGCTTCGGGCCGTGCCCATCTGCCGAACCTGCCTGGGCAGCATGGGATTCCAAGAGGCGGAACTCGGTCACCGGAGCTGCACGGCGGAAGCGGAATGGGGTTGGCTCACAAATATCCGTGACAGCTGGGGGCTGCACTTTGCATAACATTGACCCTGGCTCGTGTGACGGTCCGGACGTGGGGTTGCCCGAGACAGACGGGTGGAAACAGACAGGGCAACCTGCTTCAGTAGCGTTTACAGGGGGGATTCAAGGATTCAATGTTTATATTGTTTAAGAAGCAACTTCGAAGCTCGCGAACATAAAAGGTTTGTGTGCGCACGATCTCAACGCTGCCGAGGTGCTCAAAGTAGAACATCAGGATGGTCATCGAGCAAAAATACAGGTAAAACAGCTGTTTTTTAACACACACTTGTTTTTCAGTGCGTTGGAAACGTCACAAAACACTGCAAGGGCTCATGTGAAATGGACGCGGCTTTGGAAACACTGCAAAAACAGTGCAAATGCAAGTCCCTGCAAGTTGACAAAGTGAGAGTCGTCTATCTTTGTGGCATGCTTCACGAACATCATCGCCGATATTCTTGGATCTAAAAGCCCAGCGCGGCAGCACTCTTGCATTTTCAGCACTTCCACAAAGGAGGTTTGAAGCAGTTCGCAGGATGATCGCCGGCATGCTCCGGCGATGGGGCCCTGGAGTACCCGCGCAAAGCACGCACTTGTCGCGCATACGCGATTTTCACGCGCTTGCTCGGGTGAGTCCTGAGAAAGAGGCCATCGCCAAATCAAAGAGATTTGACCCTGACCAAACCAGCCGTCAGCGCGGAAATCAAGCAAAACCGAAGCCCCATCCTGGTCACGCACTGGGCTGGGCCGCGTCTATGGTCACGGACATGGTTGCGTGATCAGGAGAAAAACGCACAGTCATGCGTGGCCAAAGCTTGTGTTGGGTGGGGTCACTTGGGCGGGGGTGCTTACCATGTGTTGGGTGATTACTTGGGCGGGGGTGCTTACCATTGTTGGGTGGGGTCACTTGGGCGGGGGTGCTTACCATGTGTTGGGTGATTACTTGGGCGGGGGTGCTTACCATTGTTGGGTGGGGTCACTTGGGCGGGGGTGCTTACCATGTGTTGGGTGATTACTTGGGCGGGGGTGCTTACCATTGTTGGGTGGGGTCACTTGGGCGGGGGTGCTTACCATGTGTTGGGTGATTACTTGGGCGGGGGTGCTTACCATTGTTGGGTGGGATCACTTGGGCGGGGGTGCTTACCATGTGTTGGGTGAAATCACTTGGGCGGGGGTGCTTACCATGTGCTGTGGGATCGATGTTTTGGGAGGGATCGCTTGGGCGGGGGTACTTACCACGTGTTGGGTGGGAGCAAACCCAAAAAAAACAACACAAAAAAACACAACAAACAAAAAAACACATGATGTCATCTTGTCGCGGAACTGAAATATGATGTCATCTTGTCGGGGAACCCCGTCTGGAGGATCACGTGATGCGCCTGGCGACGTGCGTCGGAACGTGAGATGTTTTGCAGGGTTCCCTGGTCCTTTTTGGAAGCTTTGGCTGTTCTCTTGGGGCTTGTCTGTGTCTTGGACCTCAGGAAGTCTACCCCTTGTGCAGCTGCAGTACGCGGAAGTACTTCAATGACGAAGCCGCCCTCACCGAATTGAACAAGTTCGATGACCTGATGAGGCGTGCACGTTTCTGCAAATGCCTCTGTACAATGCTTTGGGCCTCCCCAGCCCAGGTTTCTGGCGAGCCAGCTCCCTGTCTTCGTCCACGTCACCGTCGCGGACGAACACTTTGAAGTCTTCAAGCGCGCCTGGTGCGTAGTGAAGCCCTTAGGCCTGCCGCGACTCACCTTGCAAGGCATCAGGCGGCTATGAATGTCGGAACCCATTGACCAGTGCTTGGTGGACATGTAACATCGCAAATCCACATGTAGATGATGCCCAACCCTTGTCAAGCCACAATTCATACCCAGATGTCTTGTGCTGGCCCCAAGGCTGAGATTGTGGAAGGCAGTGCCCTGAACATCAGGCAGGAGCCCAGCTTCCCACGTGTGGGTTTTGGCCGAAACAGCAAGTGGCACCAGGCAACGCATTGTGGTGCCTTCCTCCACGTGCCTGGACGAGCATTATGGCACTTTGAAGAACTTGGACCGGGTTGGGGTGGAGGGCCTGTTTTGCAAGACAGTCCAGGCTTCCTTTCGGGGTGAGCCTGCAGACGTGGATTGGCGCGCCAGGACATCCGCAATTGCGAGGCCTCCAGGGTGGAAGACAAGGAGCAGATCCTCTCCAGGATTGATGACGTTGCAGCGCCCTGGATGGGACATGGTTTTTCATACATGGTCGGTGCAAATGCTCGCAACCGAGGGGTTCAATGAATACCTGGGCTGGCTCATCTTCGATGTGGATGGCATTTTCAGCGGATTCTTGGATGGAGAGGCGATGGAAGAATCATATGACAATGTCAGCTCAGCCGCCCGCCCTGGAGGCTCGCTTGGCGATGGTGGGCCGCCTTTCTCTCCGCATGAAAGCATTCTGGGAGGGCTGACTTGCAGGTAACAGAAATAATTCTGACAAATTAAGACAGCTAGCACGCTGGCGTTTCGGCACAACCATAGCTGCCGGAACGGCGGCTCACTTCACAGAGTATAGCAGAGGCGAGCCTCTGAGCTTGCAAAGAGTGCCGCCAAGGAGCGGTCCGATTTTGGGCCGAGTTTTGGCCGATTTTGGCGGGGCGACAGCCCCGCCTTTCAATTCACTGTAAAGACTGCAGATGTTTGTGCATAGGGCCATGGCCGATCTCTGTTGCTTCTTTAAGCATTTGACAGTTCAAAAGCTCGAGCGGCAGTTGGATGCCCAGTTGCGACCCTTAGGTGTACTGCACAGACTTTTGCTTGAGACTTCTGATTGGTGCAGGATGAGGCCACCGTGATGGACGCCTAGCTCATTTGGGCTGGCCTACGCATTGCCGCCGCACAGCGCCTTGGCCTTACAAAATGCAGATTCACGGG